CCCTTCCCCACGCCTTCTTTCCCCTCTTGTCACCGTGTAAACCTGCTCCATCCCGCCTAACGAAAGCTTATGTTTTATGCTATAAGCTTCCTGTTTGTTAAGCAAGTTACCTCTACAATTTTTAGTTCTATGTAGCTCAGATTTACTGTAATTTATTTATTTAAGTCAATTACTAAATTTTCTCATCTATTAATTTCTTGTTAAACTTATATTTTTATATACTGACTATAATAGTCCAAAAAAGTTCTTACTTCCCGTGTTGGCTACTATATCGAATTTATTTCTTCTTAGTGTTTTTTTGTTTAATAGGAGGAAAAAGACGTAATGAGCAAAGACAAAGATATGAAAATTCCAATTTTAAAAGGGCCCGATTTACCTTTCTACTTGAAAAAGTAGTTTACATTTGCTCTTTATTACACTACCCTTGTCATTGATAAAGTTAGTGACCTAAAGCCAAATTTTAATAAAAGACATTAGAATTTTAATAAGATTTTCTTATTGTTTACAGTACAATACTAGCTTCTAGGCACGTACGTTCCATATATGTCCTATATAAATCGGTACATACTTTTTAATATGAAATGAATATTATTAAGATGTGTGCATAAAGTATTAGGCAATTTAAAAGTTGCATGATGTTGAACATAAAATGATTGGACATGTAAACAATTATATTTAGTTAGGTAGACATGTTTTGTAATTATATTAAATTTGATCATATGAGGTACACACGTATATGATTATATCTCAACTGATACTTCGAATTTTCTGTAGATGATGTTTTTGGTTTTATATTTTATTATGACATTTCAGCTGCTTTGTCATAGTCACAAGAATTCTGTTTAATCCTCGCCAAAGAATCTGCATGCTGTCTATTTATTGAGTGTATGACGTTTGGAGTTGTCGTTCATGCACCTGTCCCCAAAGGAAGAATGAATGATCTGTTCACCTGCGGATCATGGCCTTACCATTCGATCTCCAATAGCCAGCGGGAGATTCGGTATAGCAGCTCAGGTTCGCTTGCGAAGCGCTTACTATTCTTAGTTATAATCAAAAATTTGATAATTTTTTTTCTTGATTACGTACTTACAAGGTAAATGATACTTCGAATAAAAAGGGAGTGGGAAAAAAATAGAAGGGGAACACATTTGTGGAGTACAACTGTATTGGGAAAAATTGTATTTTATATATATGGTGACGTGTCAGGACACGTGGATTGGTCAAATGGTCAATAAATCTCAATTAGACACAATTCAAGAATTGTAAAACAAACACGAGCAAAGAAGGAGGAAGAGGTACGGGACATCAGATAAGTAGCACGGCGCCCGTACCTATTTAAATCATTTATATCCGGGCATCAGAAGGAATGAATCTGGTTATAAAAAAGCGAGCAGATACAGCATTTAATGGGTATTAAATGCTGAGTCCGTTAAGGAATATATATATTCAATGTAATGATTGTGTAACGTAGCATTCAATGTCTTTAATTATTCATAATAGCCTCATTATGATTTGGGCATAACCTACATTCTCAAAGTTACCTATAAAAAGGAGATATATGATCAGTTGTAGGACACACAAAAAGCTATTGAAATATACATTGGTATCATTTGTTTTTCTTGATTATTATATTGCTACTCAGAATTATTTCCTTTTATTAATTTCCTTGATTATCAGTAACCCGAGTTCTTCTAAATTCTAGCTTTGACTATAATTCTATTTTTTGGTTAAACAAATTGGTTCCGTTGCAGGGAATCTGATAATCTATTTCCTCTTTGCTTAACTTTCCTTGTTACATCAACTATGGCAAACAACAATGATAACACTCAAGGAAACCAAGAAAATCAAACAAATCAACAACTTCAGGGAGATCTGCAGGATAATAACGCATTAGTTCCTTCTCCACAAGGTTCTCCACGACGGTCTCGTGAAGGCACTCCTGAGGGGTCTCATATAGATGGACAAGCTCAATTCGAAAATGTTGAAACTATGGACGAGGCTTTACAAAAACTTATTGCCTCTCAAGTCAATAAAGCTCTTCAGGCTTTTGTTAGCCAATTACCTGCTGCACCACCTACACCCACGCCAAATAACAACACTCTAGAGAACCCTCGTTCCGGACTCGTTAATTCAGGTAGTGGGGGAACCCCCAGCGAATCACAGGAGGGAGAACCAGGTAATTCTAATTTACAGAATTTAGTACTAACATTGCAGAAACAGCTTAAGGAGCAAAGTGACCGCATAGAGCAGATACCTGGGGTGCCGCCCGTGATCAAAGGGGTAGATATGGATAAGTATTCTCAACAGCCTTGGAAGCCAAGTGCTGCTCCTATCCCAATTCCAAAGAAGTTCAAAATGCCTGATATACCAAAGTACGATGGAACAACAATCCCACGAGACCACGTTACTGCATTTACAACAGGCGTAAAGGGCAACGACCTGACTAAGCAGGAGACTGAATCAGTCTTTGTCAAAAAATTCGGTGAAACGCTCACTAAAGGAGCGTTAACATGGTATTCTCTTTTACCCGAAAATTCTATAAATTCTTTTGCTGAGCTTGCAGATTCTTTTATCAAAGCACACTCGGGAGCTCAAAAAGTTGAAAAAAGAATGGAAGATATCTTCAAGATCAAGCAAGGAGACTCAGAATTGCCTAGAGAATTCGTGGACAGATTTCAACGTGAAAGAATGACATTGCCACGTGTACCTGACAATTGGGCAGCCATAGCCTTCACAAGCAACTTGAATGAGAACAGTTCAGAAGCTACGAGGCGACTCAAGGAAAGCCTCCGAGAATTTCCAGCAACGACATGGAATGACGTCTATAACAGATACAGTACAAAGATGAGGACTGAGGAAGATATTATTTTACGACATAAAAAAGAAGAAAAAGTAAGCTCAAGACGTGCAGAAAATGAAAAAAGATCCGGTAAAAACAGGTACGATCCATACATGGGACCTGCGGGGAGAGACTCACGATCAAAGCAGGACAATCAAAGGTACGATCACAGATCAAGGAATAAAGAATCAGGTTCGTCTTCCAGATTTGGGAATGATCGAAACACACGCGAGCCACGAGATAATGATAGGGGTTTGAAGGCAAGGTTTGGTGGTTATAATTTCAACGTAAGCACTTCTGAACTCGTAGTTGTTTTAAGAAGCATGGAAGATAAGGTACGGTGGCCAAAGGAAATGCGATCGAATCCAAACAGACGAAACCCTGATCATTGGTGCGAATTTCATAACGATCATGGGCATAAAACAACAGATTGCAGGTTTTTGCAAGGTGAAGTTGATCATTTGCTAAAACAGGGGTATCTCACTGAGTTATTCAGTGAGAAAGGTAAACAAGCATACATGAAAAACAGGCAAGAGCCTCCAAAACCACCTTCTCCCAAGAGAACTGTCAACGTTATAAGTGGGGGTGAAGATATCAATGGCGTGTCATATACTGCAGCAAATAAGATTTCCAAAGTAACAATTACTCACGGGAAGCGGCTGCGGCATATATTGGAGGAAAAAAATATT